TATAGGGGCATAGTTCTCTAAACTCTTATTAGAACCAGGAGATGACCACAACTATATAGACATACCCATGAGAACCAAATTCTTATCAGTGAAATATTTGTGTGAGGTATGTTCGCTTACACCAATGGCAGGACGGTTTAAGAACATCGCGTCTATTGGACAGCAATAAGGTAAACATATTTTCACAAGGGAAGGTTCAAAGGGGATGCCTACCTATCCTATGCAAATATCGATCACCATATCGAGTCAGTGTTTGAATCATCAAGTTCATTCATGTGGGGGATTGTTGGAAAAATTATTGAATGAATTGATGCTTTTATAACTAATTAATAATAAGTCATGTCACTTAGTGAATAAACTTAATTTTTGGTTTAGAGTTGCATCCATTCAATTATATCTATTCAACAATTCTCTTCATGAAAAGATTAAATCTTTTCATTAAAAGGTTAAGCCCTTTCATCAAAATGATAAGTCCTTTAGTCGAAAGGTTTCATCGAAAGGTCTTAGCCATTCAATCTATTTTCTCTCCCTATATATAGGCTACTTGAGGTACAATTCTAAGACGTAATTCACAATGCTGAAATTGGAAAACATTTAGAAAGTTCCTTTCAAATTCGTTATTTCCGGTGATAGAGAAAGGCAATATTGTGTTTGACTGATCACTACGGTTTTACTTACTGTTGTGATCGTTTGTTGTTGTGTCCTGGGAGACTGACGTCCAACGTTACTCAAAACACCTAGGAGAAGACGAATTTGTCTTAAGGAAACTGTTCATACAAGGCTTAACAAAAATCCTTCTTCTATTTATCTTACTCTACTCATCCGATTCAGTGTCTACATACGAATAAACAAATCACGTTCCTCTGTTTTAATTCTTTATTTATTTGTTTCGTTCGATTATATAATAATATTTATTATTGGATTAATACTTTTCTAACACAAGCATCTAAGGGAATAAAAGAAGGGACTCGACCAATTTTCAAAAAAGTTAATACAATTCCTAAGGCTAGATAAAATAAATTCCACTTTATTCATGATTTTGACAATTTAAATGGAGGAAAAGACATCACAGCTTAAGGTTTGTACCGTACTAATAGAGACAATACTTCTAAGTTGGCTCCAAGTGATAACAAAAAGGGTCAAATTTACCACTTTATTCAGATAATTGCCTATATTTTTTTTGGTTGAAACGGGGGTATCCACCGCCGGTAGCAGTATCTAATCTCCCTCGCCACGGGTGCTTTCTGGAAAGGTAAATGACTGACCATGAAATGTACTCCATTCCTATGGTGGGTATATACCATAAATGGTATTTCATTATAAAAACACAAATCAATCTATCTTCCAAGACTCGAAGTGAAAAAAGTGTGTGTACATATATACACATATTTTATGGCTTATCCCGAGGCACCAAAATTTGATCTACTTTGATGCAAATCACTTCAGCCAAGAAATGAGAATTATAATACATGGATGACGTGCAACAATAAACTTTTAAAAGAAATGAAAGCTGAAAAAGAAGAAAACTACTAATAAGAAACAACCTTTTCTCAAGGTCAGTGCCACAACATCATTTTCAACCTGAAAGCACAGAGCACGTCAAATGTTGCAAATAATTCAAAGACACGTACAAAAAAATCAAGAGTAAGATATCAATCAAACAGCTGCCAAATAGATTTTCCGGGAAAAGAGACAATGGAACTTATTAGTTATTACCTTCTGGTTCGCCAAAGATTTTGAATCCTCTAATATTTCCCCAGTATTCATTAGGATCAAACGCTGGTCCTTAACAGGTTGATCAATGAGGGTATGCAACTTGTGCTTAATGTCTAGGTAGTCTCAGTAGGATCACATTGGATAATGTATGTGGTCTTGCTATGCTTCACACGGATGTACATAGCATATAAAAGTTGTTGAGATCAATCTAAATTTCGCAGGCTATACATGAATATAGCAGAAACGTGCTTCAAGTAGCCTACTAAATAGAAAAATAAGCTAAATAGAAATAACTAATGACAATATATTCACTTCATTCCTTACAAAAAATCTTTGGCCTGAGAAAACAAATTATACTATACTATTTTGCTTTTCTGTCTTATTTGATTGCATTACATTTACTCCAATGCTTACTTCCTCACTCCTGATTCTTTGATTATAAATGATGGATATATAAAAATGTTGGTATGTAAGTTTTTAAATAAAGCTACTCTACTTCAAAGCAAAACTGTAGATAGAGATATGTTCAACAACATGAACAAAACTCATTATCTAATAATATGCTTATTGTGTCTGCACCGTGATCAAGCTCACAGCACTTATCTGCAGTCACCACCAATCACAAGAAATTTTCTGTCGGACATATTCAGCGTTTGACAAGATGATACAGAAGAATTACTCTTTGAACAAACCGGAATAAACCACCAGGTGGATCCAAGCAAACCAAGGCTCAATTTAGTTAATACGACTCCAATTAGACAACGAACTTTCACATAACAAAACCAGCCAGCTTCGAATGGATCTTTCTTTAGAATGAACACCAGGACAAGTGACAGAACATTGGGATGGGCTCTACATAGTCCAGTAACTGTCCTTGTCCCAACAAGGCGCAATAAAACCAGTTTTACTTTATACTATGTTGTTCCGACTCTTCATTGTTCTTTTAAATTCTAATGTCTGACACTTATGAATATAGGGATATGACCCTCCAAGAGTCCTCCAAATACATTGGAAAAACATTTTAAAATTGAACATACCAGTGTCAGACGCAGTGTCGTATCTGATACCCATGTCTGACATAGATATGGAGAACCCTCTAAGAATCCAATTTAGTAGACTCAAATTACACAAAGAACTTTCACATAACAAAATCAGCCAGCTTGGAACTAGATCTTTCTTTAAAATGAACACCCGAACAAGTGACAAAGCATTGGGATGGGCTCTAAATAGTCCAGAAACTGTCGTTGTCCTAACAAGGAGTAATGAATTAAGCCCATTTGTTTAGTACTTCAATCTTAACTGTCCATTGTATGAGGATTCTACTATAAATAGAGACATCCCCACTTTATTTGTAATCATTTCTGTTTTGAAGAATACACGGAGCATTCACACAATGTTCTTTTCTTATCTTTGCGAGTTCCTTTCTAAGTTCTTTTTGGTTCCGTATTGAATTAAGCCCATTTGCTTAGTATTTTTAGGCTTATTTAGGCACCGAACCGTCTAAGAAATGTTCTTAAGCATCTAAGGTCCCATGTCCTAATAAATCAAAACTTTAGAGACGTGAGAATTGTTACCATTTGCTTTTCTATTTATATTTATTTATTTAATTAAAAGTAATGAATTATTATAAAATTAACAGGAAGCAGATCGAAGCACTTTGTTATGTTAAAATATTGAAGTCAACTCCTGATCCATGTTGTACTATCTTGTTACAGGGCCAATTTGTTGGTGGGTCACGAGTTTTACGACTTTTTATAATGTGGGTCCATCAACATAATTCATCTCAAAATATATACTTACTTAATTAAACGTTGTCTCTTTCAGAATAAAAAAAACAAAAACTTTGTTATGCAATTGTCCAATGACACGAATTACCGCGTGGGACTGTGGCGACGGTAAACAAATGAAATGGTCGGCGGCAAGGCAATACATGTGGGACCCGCTTCTAAATTCTCGTAGCCGTTAATATACACTTAGTTCTTTGTTAAGCTTTTAACCTTTAACGGACCATTTTAGATTAATTATGAGCCAGCGTTTGAACAAGTGTAGTGACTAATCACTACCTTCCAGTGAGTTCTACCACCAAATAAAACCATTCTTTATTTACAAAAATTATAAAACCATAATTTTAACACAACAAAATAAATACTACCAAATAAATTTTATTTATTTATTTTTTGAAAATTTTAACAGTATTTTATGTTTTAAGCGTTTTCATAATTTTATATTTATAATATTTTAAATTTTAAATTCCTAATGGAAACTCCCACTCTTCATTTAAAGAAATAAATAAAATCTTATGGGTTTAATTTCATATGGATTACATGCATGTCTAAATTTACTAAACAAATCTGTTAACTTTAAAACTTAAGGTCCCATATCCATAAAAATAATAACAACATCGTTAGATATTTGGTTGTTGATGTTTCCTAAATTTATACATGCGTTTAACCTCCACCTCCAAAGCAGTTTGCATTTTCTTTTCCTTTTTAAATGCAAACCTTTCTTCTCCGCTTTCTTGTTTATTAAGATTTTGAACGCAAACTGGGTTTTCATGGACAAAAAAGCTGAATGTTTATAGAAATATGGGCGCTGTTTGAACTCGGGAATCAGAGGACCAAATTTGCTTCTTTTTCTGCAAAATACTACCAGGTTTTTCTTAAACTTTACATTCGTTATTTGAATTTTGTTTCGCTTTTGGTTTTCTGAATCTTGTCAGTATGATGCTTTATGGTTGTTTCAAATTATCTTGGTGAAGTTAAGAACTATGATCATCCATTTTCAATACCCAGATCTTTTTCACTTGATTTTCTATATAACTTTTATATAGGGAAATATAACTTATTTCATTTAAAAAGATTCTTAATTCCAACCAAAATTTTACTTAATACAATGATGAAAGCTTTATAAAATAATTAAAATTGATTTATAATAATAAATGTCTGAAAGTGAATTTTCTGGAAATAGCTAAAATTACTTCCAAATGGTAATATCATTAATTCACAACTCTTTCCAATGAAAAAACGTATGAGTATGGTAATTTAGTTTTACTTGGTAATTAAGTATAGGTTTGTTTATGGACAAAAAAAAAATTCATAAGAAAAAACTGCATCTTGGGTTGCATTTTTATCTCTTTCTTGAAAAAGTATTTTCCATGCCTTTCAGATGAATATGCATAAGAGCAATCATAGTTTTCTGAGTGCTTAATATTCGGGAGAACAACAAGAAGTGGTGAATTAATCTTTCAGAATTCTGAAACAACTCTGCTTAACATTGTATCTGAGTTGCATAATCCTCCATGGCTGGGAGCTCTGTAACTTTGCCGATACAAGAAACGGATGTTACAGTTCTTAAAGAAACGCTTCGCTCTCAACAGCAACTTCTTCAGAAGCTATATTCCGAGCTCGAGTTCGAAAGAGAATCCTCTGCCACCGCCACGAATGAATCTCTTTCAATGATACTGCGGCTGCAAAGCGAGAAGGCGGCGGTGAAGATGGAAGCAAGTCAATACAAGAGATTGGCTGAAGAAAAGATTGGTCATGCCGAGGAAGCTCTTGCAATTCTTGAAGAACTTATATATCAGAAAGAAATGGAGATCTCTTCCCTTGAGTTCCAAGTTCAGGCTTATAGGTATAAGCTTCTAAGCTTGGGGTGTCATGATGATTTGAATGATTTTGAAAAGCAGTTTACACCGAACCGGTTTACGGAAAGAAATGATGCATTCGATGGGGAAAAGGGTATTAAATCTACTGTTAGAAGACTCAGTTCTTTGCCCGCAAGTTTACCAATAGATTTCTATTCAAAGAAGAGTACTAATGATGGAGAAAACAATCTGGCACCGGTGCAGGAGAGCAAAGATGCTGGAAATTCCGACACGGTAGTTCGTGATCAAGGCTTGAGTTCAAGGAGAAGTTCGTTAAATTCAGGAGCTGGTGAATTCATTTCTTACTTGGAACAAATCAGATTGTTGGATGAAAAGGTGAAACAGATTGCAGACTGTAAAGAAGTTGATCTAAAGAAAATTTCAAATGGTAAGGTTGAATCAGTGTCCCTAAAGTCTAGCTTATTGAATGAATGTCATGAGATAAGATCTCATGAAGATTCAACAGAATTGCGCATTTCAAGTTCTGCTCTTTCCTCTAGTGTTGTTCATGATATATTTGAAGTTCCAGTTATACATGAAATTCCTGAAACCAGTGCAAAAAGCAAAAGTTGCTTTGATGGGGAAAAATGTAACGGTAAGTCGGTTTTGGGAAGCGATGATCGGCTTAGAAAGCCGGATTTGATACTGGAAGATAACTTGGGATTACCTGCTAAAGATGAAGTTGACTGGATAAAGATGAATAACTTTCTGAGTGCAAAGCCTGAGGGAAAATTATGTAGTGGTAATGACTTGCCTGCTGAATATAGAACTGAATGCGTAAAGGTAAATAAGTTACTTACTACAGATGCTGACTGCAAGTCGACTCTTCGTCACTTAGCGGCTGGCGTTACCGACTATCAATCTGAGTTGAAACAACTTAGCCGGAGAATTGAGAAGCTTGAGAGTGGAAGAAACAATACAAGGCATGAAATTGTAGAAGGAAGGGAGGAAGAACTTAATTTACTGAAGGATCTAAGAGAACAACTGAATTCAATACAAGCTGAGATGCGAAGTCGGAAACCGAAGAAACCACCCTCTCCTTCGGATGAGGTGTCTCTGGTTCCTCTCACAGAGGTATGACTTGTGATTACCTTTTCGCTTTTATCAGTCTCTAGCATCCACAATCATTGTCTTTCTTTGATCTGCTTCGAAACATCAACGGGCTCAGGGTTTCATTATGTTTTGTTATATCTTTTCTTCAAAGCTTGATAATGTGACCATTTTATGTGCACAGGCAATGATGTACTTTTGGTTGTAATTAATCATTTGATGTTGGAATCAAACTCAAACAAGCTCCAGTGACATCAATGTATGATGGGCTGAAATTTGTGCACATGTACCCTACAATGCTATCTTTTTATTTTCTAGCGAGTGTTGTGATAAAACATATATTTTTTTCCTTTTTCTTTTAAATGAGATTGTTTTGCATATAAAGTGAACATGATTTAGAGGTTTGTTTGAGCTTTTCCATGTATGTATTTTCCTTCTTTGTTGTTGTTAATAATATGCTCATATGTACATCTTTCATTACTTCTCATGCCATTGTTGAGTTGATTTTCTCGTTACTTTTAAGAGGTGTTATTTAGGTTCGAATTTGATTTATTTTTTTAGAGTAAATGTGGCTTTTTATTGTACTTAGATACTAGTTGATTTTTTTATTTAACACTGATGTCCAATTTATTGATCCACTAATTTGGATTAGGTAATATAGAGGTTCGTTATGGGGTGATCTTTTCAGTCTAATTGTTTTGTTCATAACATTAGGATTCAAATCACTCGTTTTACTTAATAGATTTACTATCTTACCCTACTAGACCAACTAGTTGTTAGTTGATTTAGTTTTCAACATTATTTATAAAAATTTTAAAAATTCATCTATGTGCCATTAAATATTCATATTTTTATATATTATTCTCTTAGTTCTATTAAAATTATCTTTTATTGGTTTATTAAAAGTGAATTTTTTTAAACTTTGACTATAAATATATATTTAAAATTTAATTGATCAAAGATTTTTAATATATATATATATATATATATATATATTTTTATTAATAATAATTTAAATAATAAAAAGTAAAATTAAAAAATGATGAAAAATTAATAAGGAATAATTTTAGTAGGATAGAAGAATGATATAACATATACCATATTAAAAACAAAACAAGCATATTGTAATATAAATAATTAAAAAGTATTTCAAATTAGTTAAAAAAGTCAAATATATATTTTTAAACTTACTTTAAAAGTTTTAATTTAATATAAAAACTAAAGGGTAAACTACCTATTTGGTCACCGATTTATTATTTAGTTTTTGTTTTGGCCATCCAACTATTATTTCTTTCAAAATCATACATAATGTTACGTTTGAGTTTTGTTTTAGTCGTCTGTCGTTAAAAAAGTAACGATGATGATGATGTAGCATTTTTTTAATTTTTAAATGTTGACGTGATATTATTTCATGGTGATATGTCAACATTATTGTTAATGAATCAAAATATAATGTTAGATATAATTATGAAAAAAAATAGTTGATGACCAAAATAGAAAGTAAGTGATAGATGGGTGACCAAATAAAGTAGTTTACGCAAAACTAAATGAAAAAGAACATTTGTTGAGAAAAAATGAAAGGAAATTATGAGCTAAAACGCCCTAACTATCGGTTGGGCCTATTGGGAAAGAGATTGTTTGGTTATGGATCATAAATATGTATTTAGATTTTAAAATTTTGTTTACTTCTTTTAACTTACTACTTTTGTTCCGACCTAAAATATAAACTTGAAGTAATTGCGCAAAATTACGATGCTATTCTAAACTGCTTAAGTTTTACTATTTTATATCATCTTCTAAACTATGATTTTATTTTAAATTGTCTCTAAACTCTAAAACATTCTATGAGTCCTCAAATTATCAATACCATTTCATTATTTATTTGACAAGCGGATTTTTTTAGACTTCTGTTAATGAGTTAACGGGAGAGACTAAAACCGAACATATTATGCAATGTACAAAATTTCTTTTAAAGCATTTACTTAGTTTTGTTTGTCGGATATATATTGAAATTACACACGGGATAAAATTCTTTGAACATATAAAAATGGTTTATAAAATATAAATAGTGTTTAGGAAATCATTGAATAAGAATCCATCAAGTGACTTGGGGTTAAATGAAGTGTTGTTCTTCTTTAAGTTTTTGGGCTCGAGCAACTGTGTCTACAATGTATGTGTACGTTGTCAATGATTAAGAAAAATTATGAACAAATACTATCTTATAGTCACTTTAATGAAATATTAAGCATAGCATATTAATAAACATGGATAAGGAAAATGTAAGGTTTTAAAGATCAATATATACTCATTGCTTCCCTAAAAAATGTGCAATCCTCATTTCTTTTTTGTTTCCATTGCATTTTATGGGAAAAAAAGAAGCTCCTAAATTACAAAAATATGAAAAGAAATTATTGTACATGTTTTGGGTGATAACCATAGTAAGATAAATATCTATTTTTTCAATCCCGTTTGCAAATCGGTTGTCGGCTTATACCCGAGTTCTCTTCGGGCTAAACTAATGTTGGCATGAGTAAACGGAACGTCGCCGTTTACAGGGATATCTACAATCTTCTTTTTGGCTTCCACCTTCAAATGTTTCTCCAAAATACTCACCAGCGTCGGAACCTTAACCGGCGATGTATTCCCCAAGTTAAAATTTCTATACGGTGCCGGGCCCCGTTTCTTCCCACCCGACCCGGTACTTTCACCGGATGTATCCAACGATCTCAAACAACCTTTCACGATATCATCAACGTAAGTAAAATCTCATGCCAAATCTGCCTTATTCTTTCCTCTATATACTGTGATTGTCTTCCCTTGCAGAATGTTTCTCGTGAACGAGAAATACGCCATATCGGGTCTTCCCCATGGTCCATAAACCGTAAAAAATATTAACAATGTGATGGATTTTGAAAACCGGACCGGACCGGCCGGTTCAACCGGGAACCGTTGTCTAGTCCGGTTGAATCTACACCGGTTGAACCGCTACTAGTGAACCGGCCAGAACCGCTGAACCGTTCGAACCGGACCGATTGAAAACTAGAAAAACCGCCAATTTTGTTTTTTTTTAAATAAAAAAAAACTCAAACGACGTCGTTTGTTAAACGAGCCAAGTCGAACTAGAGTATTGCTGAGCTCGATTCGAACTTGAAAACTTTAAAATAAAGCTCAACTCGACTCAAACTCACGAGTTAAAAATTATCAAGTTCAACTTAAACTCGAAATATAATATTGAAACTTGAACTCAAAAAGGCTTGAACTCAAAAAAAATTAGAAGCTCGATTGAAGCCTAAAATTCGAGCTTGATTGAAGTGAAAGAATAGTTCACTCAATGCTCACCAAAAGGTTCTATGATTTTGAATGTCAAATTACCTCTATTATTTATAGAAGTTAGTTGTGATGTTCTTTTATGTTTCTTAGTCATGTGAGATTGTTTTGTTCTCATATTTTTACTCTTTAGACTTTTGGGACGCTCTTCTATGTTTCTTAACCATGTGGGATTGTTTTTAAAAAAAATTAAACCAAACAATATCATTTTGTTATGATTTTTTTAGCCCTAAATTTATTTTTTAATTATAGTTATATAATTATATTTATTATTTAATATGTTTTACCTTAAATATTATGTTGTAGTTAATTTTAATAATTTTGTTTCACTTGATTTTATGGTTTTTAACTTATATATGTTATGACTTGCTTTGAATATGACTTGTGATATAAAAAATTATTTTTTATTAAATATTTTTGGTATTTTTATTTAATTTTTTAAATAATTATGATGTCGTCCGATTCTTCCGACCGGTCGGACCGATTCGACCGGTTGAACCAGTGAACCGGTAGCATGACCGGTCCGGTCTGAAAACCATGGTCATGTGATTATAACTGTGGATAATTTCTCCGCCTGCCTTTTTCGTTGCGGCGTATAAGCTAGCCGGCCGGTCAGTTCGGTCTGATTCCGAGAAAGGGACATGTTCGTTTAACCCGTAAACTGAACTTGAAGATGCCCATACAACAGCCGGCTGGGGATCAGCCGATTTGCAAATTTCAAGAAGTGTAACGAGGGCACCTATGTTGCTGTGAACGTAAGAGTTAGGGTTTTCCATGGCGTATCTGACTTCGGCTTGAGCCGCCAAATGCAAGACGTGAGTAAAAGCTACCACGTCGAAAAGCTTAGCCAATACACCGACGTCATTCAAATCGCCTTCCACGAAGAAAATGCCTTGTCTGTTGAGCAGCGATTGCCGGGCTTTTTTCAACGAAGGATCGTAATAGTTATTGAAGTTGTCGAGCCCTACGACGCCGTCTCCACGTTTCTTGAGGGCAAGGGAAACGTGGGAGCCGATAAAGCCCGCAGCTCCGGTCAGCAGAACGGACATTCCACCGGGGCGTTGGATCTGAGCGGAGTTACGGATTTGTTTCTCCCATTGGATTCCACCCCAGGAAGCGGTGAAATAATGGTTACCGGAGTCAACTAAACTCTGTAAGCTCGAATACGACGCCGTCAATGCGATCAAGAAAAGCGCCCATAAAAACATGGTGCTGGTGGAAGCGAAGCAGCGTTGGAATTGACGGTTCATATTATGGACTCTCTCGATCTTGAACTTCCCAGGTGTCGATGGGAACAACGCATCTTCCAAGGATGGCATATTTTGCTATAATTCTCTAATTCCCAACTTTATTTTTTTTAAATGATTTTCTCAGAAAATGGATATTCTTTCTGGGAATTACGGGATGTGCAGAGAAGGAGAAAAATGGTTAATCATAATTGGGAAATGAGGGAAAATAAATAAGAAAATCAGAAGAAAATGCGAGGAGCTAGCTTTAATTGTTCCTGGACCTGTCAATAGAGGAGACAAAAGGTTATATATAGAGGGTTATTGGTTACCCTCAAATCAAACATGTAGGTGTCGACGCTTTTGGTTTTGGTTCCCTTCCTTTTAACCATCACCTCCATTAGGTTAAAATTTGCTCACAAATAATATTAATAAAGTATACAAATGGTCCCCAATTATAGGATGATGTTTTATTGAGTCTTGCGACTATTAAAAGTTATAAAATGGTTATTCTACTATAAGATGTTGTTTTGTTTAGTCTCCGATTATTAAAAGTTACAAAATTGTCATTTGACTATTCATATGTTCCAAACCCGTCATTTTCTGTTAAAAAATTGAGGACAATCTAAGTTAGATGTTAACATACTGGCTGAGATACAATAAAAATTATCTCATAATCTCAAACGACTAACATATCTCAGTCAACATGTTAACGTCTAACTCAGATGACCGTTAATCTTTTAACGGAGAATGAGGAGTTTGGAAAATAATGAATAGTCAGATGACCATTGAGTAATTTTTTAATAGTCGAAGGATTCAACAAAGCAACTCCCTGTAGCGGAGGGACCATTTTGTAACTTTTAATAGTCATGGAATTCAACAAAGCAATATGCTGTCGAGAGACCATTTGTGTACTTTACCCTATAATTTATTTGATATAATTAAAATTTTATTATATACGTCAGTAATAATATTACACTTATATTATAAATAAATACTTAAAATATATTATTTTTATTTAAACACCTAAAGTATTTTTTTTATCAAAGTAAGTATTTAAAGTTATCATTTTAATCAAAATATTTACCTAAAGTATTCAATATATTTAGCTAAATTCTAAAAAGTTAACACATGACGTTGATGAAAGAATGCATTTGATACTTAAACTAAAAGGATAGTATACTTTAGGTACCTATTGTAATTGAAAAATACTCTATATATCTATTTTGATTATAATAATTATTTCAGATACTTATTTTAACAAAATAAATACTTTATGTAATTAGATAAAAAAAAAGATTATTTTCTTTTAAGTATTTATTTGTATTATAAACAATAATATTATTTGAATATTATTCGTTGATACTACCTTAATTTAATTCTTGTACGTGTAAATAAGAGAATTTTGCATTATATTTGTAATTGAGATATGGTTCAAGATTTAGGATTAATAAAGAGTTTTACAAAGTTTAAGACGTTTATACTATTAACCCTACAAGTTACTATGACTTATGAGATATCTAATGACCCATTACCTTTATATTTTATTAATTTTAATCTTTACTATATGTCACACACTTACAGTTTTGGCTAGTGCAATGTACGTCCTTAAACACTTCAGAAAGATTCTTGGTCGATTGTACACCTTAGTAAACTTAAAATTACTAAACGAAAGGGTTTAATTTAATGTAGTAGCGAAAAGAACTTTGAAAGGAAATGACTCACAAAGACAAGACAAGACAAGTGAATTGAGTGAATGCTCTGTGTATTCCTCAAAACATAAGTGATTACAAATGATGTGGGGATGTCTTTATTTATAGTTGAATTTACATACAATAGACGGTTAAGATGAAATTACATCAACGACTAAGATGAGCTCAAATCTCTTAATCTAAGGAAAGTCAATCAATCATCGTCTAATTATATCAATTCAGTCAATTATTTCCTTTAATTGAAGATCACCTTGGATATGGAAAGATTCTTCCACAATCCTCTTATATATATAATAATTGGTTTCTGATTTATCAATCATTAATCCAGATCGAGTACTACATTTGCCCTCCCCACCTAATTTGCTCTCTTTGATATGATGTTTCTTGCCTTTTCTACAAAGTTAATGTGAACGGGCTCACTAGAATTTTTCAAGGATCGAGTTAAATCTGATGGTTTGGACAAGTTCAATATAACGTGCAAAACCTCTGATACAGATTTTAGCATATATGTATGAGATCCTAAATTGCAGGTGTGACGTATAAATGACATATCAATATATTCTTCCTTGGAGATATATATTTAAATGAATTAAATTTATTATTTTTCTTATTTTACCTATAATGTAAACTAGATTCTTGTAATCATTTTTATTTTTTTAATTCCTATCATATTCTAGAAGGACGCTAAAACTAATGTAATATGGTTGATTATTAATATTTTAAAGTGAAAAATTTTAAAAATGACTTAAGAAAAATCAGATCATATGTCATTTTTTTGAAAATGTGAAAGAAATTTTGTTGACCAAGAAAATAAATTACAAAGACTAATCTATTTTCCACTAACTAAATATTAGAAAATAAAAAAAATGCAATCGTACCCTAAAAATAAGATATTGAAAAGAAAGCAAGGCGTTGACTACATTGCTCTGGAAACTTAAGAGAAGGCTAGCAATTAAAACAAAATTATTTGACCAAAATAAAACCCTAAGGATCAAAAGAAAATGAATAAATTTTTGGTGCATCTCTCTCTGCTCTAAGATGTACAGTGGAGTTCCCACATTGTTGCAAGGAATAAAGCCATATGACAAGCCATAAGAAACACCGCCATGGAAACTAAAAATATCCCAAGTTTCGACCATTTGCTTTGCAATGCCTTGATGTAACCTTCTTTACAGCTTCGGCAATTGTAGCATAAAACGTCCCTTTCGTTATTCCATGCATCACAATCGCCATTGCCCCATGAATCCGTATCATTGTCATTTTTCTGCCAGAAAGTAGCATTCACATATTGCATGTGGCACTCTTCCGGTGGTATGCAACATCCCGACTTTACAAGAAAAAGAACACGTTAATACATGATAATTAGCGTTAATTATGTTAGCTAAATTAAGTGAAATTGATTATGTACCTCGACAGATGATAATTTCTTCTTATCGAAATCGTATGAATTGACCGGCACCGACGAGGCGGCTAAATCTTGGCAGACATGAACGCCATAAATGCAACCTTTGATGTTGTTCCAAATACTTTCGTCGTCGACTTTCATCTCGAACCACAATGGCGTCGCTGGGATCTTCCGTGATTCCAAGCTGTTAGCTCCGATGAGGGCGAGGCCGACGGTGAACATCAAAGTCAATGGTACGATGACGACGATGATCCCCACCATGGGCAACCGGGTTCTCAAGAAGAGAGCGGCGTTGCAAATCAAGAACACGAAGATCAACCCGATGCTGATCGCGATCTGCAAACGGGGCAACTTGAAAAGCCACTCGCAGTCGTAGCTTTTCATGTACAGCAACCAGGTGACGGAGGCAAGAATCGGAAGAGACAAAATGAAGGACCCCAAAGATAAGATGCTGGTCACGTGTTTCACTCGTAAAAGCTTGAAGATGTTCTTCTTGGAACCCTGAGCAGGTTTGTTGTCTTCAGTATCCGCCATTGGTGTAGGGTTAGCTTCATCCGCCATTGAAGACTAGAAAGGAAAGATAGAGACTGGGGTTAAATATTGTTTCACACACACTAGAGCTAAGCTAGTACAGTAGTGTTTAGTGCATGACAAAGTATCTAGCCCTGATATGTTTTTTATGGGGATAGTCCAGTTTTTACCAAGTCTCCTCCTTTTTTACGCTTAACCAACGGATTTCGTTGGAGAGAAAACAGAAAGGATTTGAGATATTGTAGGGAAAAGTTAAAGAATCTGTTTTCTTTGACATTCATATTCACACACTAATACATGTAATATTTACATTTACTTTTTTATTTACCTAAATAATACTACTACATGTCGAGTTTTGAATAATTTAAAGAGGTTCAATATACACTTTCTTCCACAAATTAAATTTGTATCACTAATGTACGAATATCATATTAATTAAAATTTTAATACAATATATTTTCAAAATCCAATGAGCTAATAGTATCTTCGAGGATGGATCGAGGGACAGGTGGGTAGTCACCTCCTGAAATCTTTAAATTTTTCTAAATTTTATATATACTTTTAATGTATTTTTTTTGTTGATAGTTTAATCTCGTCCTTTTAAAATTTTATAACTTTGCTTCCCAATATCATTTTATAAATCTACCGTGCGTCCGTACCATATAATGTTTAATTGGAGTGTTATTCATTTATTTATATATACGTATAATAGTTAGTAATGAATTAATTTTTTTGAGAATATTTAACTATTTATATGACCTGGATCAAACAAAAAGAATATATAAATATAACTTATTTTAAATAAATATTATTTTTTAATTAAAATTTTATTTATTTTTTTAACTTCTAGTTTTGTACTAACTTTTTTGCAAACTATTTAAAACTCACGTTATAATTAATGTAATAATTAATTTTTTTCGTATATTATTACTATTGTATTAAAATACATGACATGTGTTGAAATGTTAGTGCTTTAAATAATATTAAAGTATAGCGAAGTCTATTGTTAAATTACGAAAGCATATGAAATGAAAGATATGAACCTTATTAAATATAAAATTTCAAATATTTGAAGTCATTTAAAAAAGTTGCAAGTACCCGATTTAAAATTTTCGCCTTTTGTACGTGTTATATCTGTGGAGAAGATCTATCAGAAGCTATCAAGTCTCCATTAACAAAGATTCTTAAAAGGCTTTATCCACTCTATAGAGCTTTCAGAAGTTTATCGAAGACATCACACCACCTCCGGGACTATCTCTGCAGGATCGCTCTATGAATCTCATACTTCTCTGTTATTGGTGTGACATTTGACAGAGCCAAATTTGACATTAATAAACCTAAGACTATGAAGCCCATACTTCGACACTACTGCTTGCATTTACCAATGGCTAGCGAAATTGTTTATAAGGCAAAATCTAAAACTATTAAAGCCTCGGAATTGAAAACAGAGAACAAAATAATAATACTCAAATAGTCTCTTATCATAAGAGAAGAATAGACCAACAAAGAAAATAATGGAACTTTGGTTCGTTCGGGTTAATGACAAAAATTGGAGAGAAATGGGAGGTGGAGGAGGAAGGAAAAGAGAGAAAATGAAGAAAAGAAACATAGTTTTTATTTAGATCAAAACATCGGTTGGTCTAAATTTGATTTTTTTAAAGATCTAAAACTATATTGTTCTGGTATAAGTTGCCACGTAATAACACCATTAATTATTTAATGGTGGAGTGACGAAAAAATTCTAATGTATAAAGTTCAATGATTAAATAAAAATAAATAAAAATATAGTGAGTGAAATCAGAGAAAAAATAAAATTCAGTGAGTAAATTTATAATTTACCCTTTATATTTTTTCTTCTAATAAATCATTTGTATTTCCCAATGTTCAATATTTAATGAAGTCGGAATCTTTTATTCAAAGAAAAATATTATTGAAAACTTAAATGGTGGAGTGTTGCATGGAAAAGGGTAGGGAGAAGGCAGGCATGCATGTAAGCAAGCATGCGCCACTCTTTAATAACCCTCGCATTTTCTCCTGAACTCAACATCCATCTCTTCAAGTAACGATTTATTCAACATGGTACTACAACCCAGATTCCTTGTCTCTATGAAAAAATATTTCTAAGATAATCAATACACCCAAGGTGATAATTTTAATATTATATTTATAGTAATCTTTTTATACGAAAGCAAAAGCTAAATACCCGAAGATCTTAAGAGTGTATATGAAGGGGATATCATGTATGTATGTATAGATGTAATGATTGAAAGGAAAGACTCGCATGTGGAGACCATGTGGGAGGGAGAAGAGATGGGTAGGGGGCTTAAGTGCTTAGTTTCTTTTCTTCATTGCCTTTTCCTTTTAAAACTTTTGTTTGATAATGTGTGTGTATAAATATAGCTAGAAGAGAGGGAGGAGTTCATGAAATGATGAGTCCAATTTTGGTTTTTTCTGTTTTTATTCATAGTGAGTTACAAATGTCTGATCTAGATTACATACAATTAAGATTTAAGGGATCTACCAACGACCGATTAGTTTAGTAGGATGAGACATTAAATTCTTTAAGTAAAATCATGTGTTTGAATTCTAATATTATAACCGTAACAAATTGGATTGAAAGTGTCGCTCTTATAATCGGCATTTGCAGTATTCGATCTAAATTAGTCATCATAGATCGAATATTAGTGGTTAGACGAAAATAATTAAGGGATCTTTTTATAGTTTTCATTATGCAGTAAAATTTCCAATAATAATAACCAAAAAAAGGGTTTAAATAAATATATCCCCTAGGTTTATGGGGTGGGCCATGAATGCCATGTGCTTGCATGTGCTTTGTCTTTCCCTCATAGGCCCACCACTTGTTTTCCTTTGAGCAAATAAATGAAAGTTTATGTACATCCCTCCCTCCATCTCTTGGATTCTGATTCACTTTCTTGGATCTGATTTCACTCTCTGAAACTCAGTTTCTGATGCTTCTCTCAGCTCAAGAGTAATTTTATTTTTAAACTACTTTCTCTTTTTTTTCTATTTCCATAGAAGAAACTCAAGCAAGGTAAGTTCTGGCTTTAGTTTACAACTGGTATTTTAGTAGTTTTAACATTATGTAACACCTAAACTAAAGCTTAAGTAGTACTTTATGCTAACAATCTTGGTCCCTTGCACTTAGTTTTTATGGTGCCTGCAAATGCCACTGTCTTCTTTGAAACCCAAGCTCCACTTTATTTTACCCTTAATGGGATTTGTTTTCCATTTTAGTTCGATATACAAGCACCTAGAGAAACTGGATAATTTCTTTTGTTTCTTTGCAGGATGCGTCCTCATAGCTCACTGAAGCAAGAGTTTCTCAAGAAATGGATAATGGGTCTCCAAAGATGTAGCTTTTCAAAGAAGAACATGAGCATCTTGGAGAGAAAAAAGGCCATAAAGTTTTCAGCTGATATAGCCATGGCGTCTGCTAGGAACGGCACCACTTGTTGGAGTCGTTCCCTCATTTCCAACGCTTCCAAAGAAGGTTCCGACATTCACGTAGTGGAACAAATATTGGGTTCGGAATCTGACAGGCCAGCCGTGGAGAACAAGGTGCCGACGAGACGGGCATCGGTGTGCAAGAAGATCGTGAAAAGGAGTTGCCGAATACGAAGAAGAAGAAGAAGAAGAAAATGTGTAGCGTCAGCCCCAAGCTCCATTGCGAAACATCTGGTGAGGAAAAGAAGAGAGGTTTTGAAAAGTCTAATACCAGGAGGGGAATTTATGAATGAAATCTGTTTGATTGAGGAAACTCTAGACTATATTACATCTCTCAGAGTTCAAGTTGATGTAATGCGAAGTCTTGCCAGTGCTTCAGTAAGAGCTAGTGAGTGAACCATAATTATAAGAGCATCAATGGTGAACTGTCATTTGCTTTTCTTTTTCAGTACATCTTTATTTCCCTTCTTCTTTTGTTTTCTGTTTGGACCCGTTTGTCTAAATCAAAGGAAAATGGAAGCTGGAAAAGCTGAAGCATCCATTTACAGACGATCCATATATGTGTATGTCAATCAAGGGTTTCATTCCAAACTTTGATCAACACTTATTATATTTCTAGGGATTCATTTGCTCTTATTAGTATCATAAGTGTAAATTACAAACAATAACATTTTAGATAGATATTCAATCGATTGATGTTTGGGGAGAGAAGGGGTGCATACTATGATTGAAATTAAGCTTGTCTATTATTACTGAGTGTCATGAATATGGTTTGATGTTTTGGTATTAGTTTATCCTGCTCTACTCAGGGGTAGTGCCAATGCATGCTGGGGCAACAAAAGAATCTTGGCCACAAAAATATACAAGTACAATCTCTTGATGGTAAAATTACATTTTGACCCTTCAAATTTTAATTCAATTTTTGTCACACAGATATATAAAAGTACAGTAGGGCTCGGAAAATCACTCCAAAACATCTCTAAATACTTGTTTTGACGTCGTTTAATTTCATTTTGAACATCTTTTAACATCAAATCGTCACCAAAGTCATTAAAACATGCTTAGCACTCAAAAGGCACTCAAAAGACCAAGCCTGCCATATGCCAACATACAAAGTATCACATTATAACATCCAAGAAACATTTCGGAGTTCAACATGTACTATCTTATTAAAAATCACTAAAGAAATCACATTGCTTATAGCTTCCACCAACTTCCCCCTTTCCTTTGGCAAAGAGAGTTCTCTAAACTCTTTCTTTTCACGCCCAAATTCTAGTGAATTAAATGAGGTTCAATATATTTTTCACCAATTGTTAATTTTCATATTTAGTTCTCTAAGCTTCTTTCTCAACTCAAAACCTCTCTATCCATGCACACTTAGTTAAATTCAAACTCGATTTGATTCAGATTTACACCAACGAAACTAGTCATGCACACTAATTAATCAATCCATAGCTTAAATCAATTTTCGAATTTGACTCAGAAATTTAAATCTTTATAGATTAAGCAAACACATAATAACTTAATGAGAGCGACGAAACCAACTTAAATATTCCATCAACTGACCAATTAAATGATTATCTAAATTTTAAACCCACACTTAATATATAATTTTAAAAGGTTTAATTCAACAACAAATATTTAAAATATACCATTTTCGTTACACTTAATTATTATTTTTAATCAAGAATCTTAACTATTATAATACATATGCTTTAATTCAGCAATAAACTGTGAAAACAGGAATACCTAGGGATGGGCATGAGATCCGAACCCGACGGATTCCGACCCGACATGATTTGATTGGGTCGGGTTTTATAAAAGAAATTTGGGTTCGGCGTCGGGTCGGATCGGATTCGGTTTTAGGGTGAAAAATATCCGATCAGATCCGATTCAAAAAATATATAATTTTACCTTATATATTTAAGAATAATTATAATAATACCCCTCTATATATTATTTTTTTCAATTAAATCACTGTTTTTATTGAATAAAAATAATATTTTTTTTATTATTTCGGGTCGGGTCGGATCATGTTCAAATTTTATCTCAAAAAATCGGATCGAATTTGGATAGGTGGAGGGTATATATTTTTCAGGTCGGGTCAAGTCGAATGAATGATGTAAAATTTTCAGGTTGGGTCGGATTGTCCGAAACCCGTCCCATGGCCATCTCTAGGAATACCATGATTTGATTGATGTCCACCTTAATTTTATCTATGTTTCCAATGGAACCCAACTTATCAACAATGAGAGACCACTTTTTTCACTAATAACTCCAAAATCAAAGTGATCGACAAAAGTTTACCAAAAAGAACGTGCTTTGAGAAGAAAAAATAGGTGTCATGCTTGACTTATAATTGTTTGATGTACTTCGAATTTAATCTAATGTCATGCATGATAATTACATTATTTGCGGGTTTATATTTTAATAATTTAAAATGATTACAACGTAAAATTTGTTAATAATTTTATTTAGTAATTGATAATGTATATCTCCTACAAACGTAACTGTTTAAATCTAATATTTTAAGGGAGACTAACAATATTTTTAACCACCGAGATCACTCAATGAGTTTATTTATAGATATATTTTTATAACCTTAACACTAATTAAATTAGAGATAAATATTTAACTTATATTAATTTTAATTGAATATATAATATGATATATTTTATAAGGAAAAGTTTAAAACGATTGTTATACGTTAAAATTTATCACTAATTTTATAAGGTAAAATTTATAAATAATTATTAAATTACATTAAAATGATTTTTTTGGAAACTAATATTTTAAAAGTTACATAATGATTAGTGACCATGAGATAAAACTGCATAATACTTTTTTTGGACACGTCTTTCAAAAGTTGCATAACGGTTAGTGACATGAGTTAATATTGCATAATATTTTTTTTGACACTAATCTTTCAAAAGTTACATATTGGTTAGCGATCATGAGTTACATAATGATTTTTTTGTTTGTTAATATTGTCATGTCATCAACTTAACGAGGTTTAAGGTGTAGAGAGTCATTTTGTTATAAATCAATAATGTTAGTGATTATTTTATTTTATTATTATTATTATCTTGAAACTTTAATAAAGAAAATGAAAATTTATTTAAATATTTGTGATTATTTATGTAGTTTATCAGTTTTGTTTTTAAATAAGAGATAAAGTTGAATGCAATGAAGTGTAGATGAAATGGTAGGTTGTTCTGTTGCAAGTTGGCCTACTCGGCTCGACTGTCTACGTTCTTTGAACCCGAAGCCCATAACGGAAGCCTTTATGTTCATCTGCTTTGATTTGCCGGTTCCTTGCTGTTTGAAGTGCTATAGCTTAGGCTCTGTAAAAAAGTCTGAAATCCTACATCCATTCTGTCTCTTGCCGGTGGGTGGGTTGGATTTACATTATCCACTTCACCTTTCCTTAGATCCTCAAAATGGGAGAAAAATATATGCAATCAGTGACCACTTTAGTCATTATTATTTTTTTAGAGTATTTTGATTTTTAATATTTTATTTTAAAATAAAAAGACTCATATTTTAGAATATTGTTCGTTTATTGACTAATAAATTTTATCTATGGAATGACTTTTTTATGTTCAAATGAAACGTTGAAGATTAAAATAATATAAAAAAAATAAGAGTCAAAATAATTATTTAATTAAATATTATATATATTTTGTGTTATTATGTCTTCTAAAATATACTCTACAATTCTACATGTTCTGCCCTTTTACAGTTGAAAATGACGTTTTAGATAGGGATGGACTAAAGGACTGATCACAACGCTTGCTCCTTTTGAAAATTTTAATTCTCATATAATTAGATATTTAATATGTGTTTTTTTATTGATGATATGTTTTCGTTGTCTCTAAAATTTTATAAATTTATTGTCATAAAATTTTATAAATTTGCTCTTTCAATATAAAATTCCGCATATATCTTTATTATTGTAACCTTAAATTTGGGATGAGAGTGGATAAGATACATGAAATTTTTATAATATTCAATCTGTATAATTGTTTTAAAATGTGAAGCAGTTTATGATATTAGAATTCACAACAGCGGGAGAATGAGTTGATAGAGATGAATGGGGCAGGTGCAGCAAAGGTTTGATTAGGTGGTTGGTTGGTGAATAATATGTGGCTAAACCCTCACTTTTTGCGGTGGAAAACGAATCCCAAGTATTCCACAACATGAGAAAAGAAGTAAAGGAAACACTGATGCCGACAAGCTACGCATAATGTGGTCCTGCCTGCCCATACACTGGAGCTCTCATGGTGATGATCTTTTTGTTCCTAACCACTTTGAATTCCCTTTATGACCATATTTTTATGGTCGATTTCTTCGTTTCTGATCGTCTTTTTTATGGATTCCCCCCCCCCTCTTTAGCCTGTTTTGTGGGTTTGGATTAGGTGAGGTCTGTCTTTTTTTTTTCTCTTTTTGTATAGTTTGGGTCTTAATAGAGTCGTGTGGTCGAGGATATTAAAAGATTAATCAATTTTGTATTTCTTATGGTTGTCCTTTTCCGGCAATTTTCCCAATAAATCATTGGTGATCGGTATATTTATTGATCTAACACTGATCAGATTATATTTTCTGATCTAACACCCGTAACAGTAAAGCGCGCCTCCTGAACCGCACTATACGCTGATTTGGCGCCACGTGGGTATAGCGCGCCCCTGCCCCGCGATATACGGTGATCTGGCGCCACGTGGGTATAGCGCGCCCCTGATCTGCGCTATACCTGAGTATCTAACACGTGGGGTATAGCACGATGCAGGGGGCGCGCTATACCCCTAAATTCACGTCTCCATCCTCAATCACTTTTATCATACCAAATTCTCTCAAATTCTCTAAATTTCTCTCAAATACTCTATCTTTCTAAGATATATTTTATAATATTTTTACTATTATGTATTTACTTTATTTAATATTTTACTAATATAATTCTTTTGCAGATATATAATGGAAGGCAGTCTACTTTACTCGGATGGAAATCATATATCTCTACACTTTGTTGATACGGTAACATTTTAACGTTTTAATTTAATTTAAATTATTAATAATATTTAGTTGATTTATTTAATGCATGATTATTAGATTAAGAATTAAATATCTCGACACTTTGCTGATACAATAACATTTTAACGTTTTAATTTAATTTAAATTATTAGTAATAATTAGTTGATTTATTTAATGTATGATTATTAGATTATGAATTAAATATCTCGACACTTTGTTGATACGGTAACATTTTAACGTTTTAATTTAATTTAAATTATTAGTAATAATTAGTTGATTTATTTAATGCATGATTATTATATTAAGAATTAATTTTTGTAATTATTTATTTTTAGGAGAAGAACCGTGTATTAGATCCTTTTATTAGGAATCTTAAGTTAGTGATACCCAGTCGTGTCTTGCCGTATTTAGTAGAGGCTGGATTTGGTTACATAGGTAGATATCAGGGTCACTGTAAGATAGAGCCAGACCTGATTTCTGCCTTAGTAGAGCGGTGGAAGCTGGAGACCCACAGATTCCATC